ATGGGCGGTTAGAAGGAGGGCGGCAGTGATCAACGAAGGCAGCCTATAAGGAAACGCAACAATAAGTGCTACTTGCTCGTTTTGAGTAGCCATTGTAAAACAAATTCGAAATGGGCTTACGCGACACCAAGGGTGTAGAAAACTGCCTGCAGTCTCAGCGACAGTTGGCGGCCAAGTCCCTGCCTCAATAAAATCGCCAGTGCGAGGAATGCCGTCCAGATACGAGCACCCGTCACGGCCACGAAGAAGATGGAAAACTTCACGTACTGTCCCCAGGTGGCACCGGTGACGGGATCTAGCCAAGTGGGAGAAGTGTATGCGTGTGAGGATATTTAAATGAGAACACTAGGAGAAGACAGGAATAACTGAAGGAGTAGAAAGATTCTTACAAAGCATATTGCCGGCCAGTGTTATTAAATTGAGGGCCGAAAATTTTCAGGTGAGACTTCTTGTCACTAACATTAGTTATCGCGAAACGGAGGGGCAACTTAGTAGGTCGAAAATCGGTGGGGCACGAAGAAAACCCAGACCACACCAGCGCGCTAATTTTTTTATATAAAAATATTATGCAAAGATCTAAGAATAGGAAAACAGTATGCATGACAGAAACAAACGTACTCCAGGACCACGGCACCCAAATTGAGCCAAGAGCGACACTCAGACAGAATACCAGCACTGAAATTATGAGACAGACGAGGAAACGGTAGGGCATCCGAAGGGCTTTCTTGCTCACCACGAGAATAGTTAGAGTCCAGGTCTACATATAAAAAGAAACAGAATACAAGAAATGACCATACACTGAAAAAGCCACTTGGGCCTTAAAATACACAATTTATTATTATTACTGAGAACAGAAAAATATGCGAGTAAGTACGTATAACACACACTACTTATTACAATAAAGCAACTATGTTGTCTTATTTTTAATCAACAGTTTGGCTTACACAACAGAGAATGCTAGCCCACGAGAAATAGATGGCGGTCCGCTCCAGCATGGTATCGTAGAACGAGGGATCCACGTTGACGAGCGTAGCCATGCCAGCAAAAAGGAACATCATGGGTGCGAAGAGGAAGGTGCCAATCACGAGACCTGCGCCAATCTGAAATCAATAAAAGAACAGTAGGTAGGGCATTTAGCGAATTTTAGTGGACGAGAGAGAGAGATATACAATGTCGGAGGACTGCGGCGATCAAGGAGGCGTCTGCGCGGAGGCCTACATAGGACGCATGGATCGAAAACCCTCAGATGCATATCCTGAAAGATGGATAATCAATGATTATTAGTTTCTGTACCTCCTGTAAAGCCCGAGTCGTCAGCCTGTACAACCGAACCAAACGACGCATCGTCTGCATGAGTGACTGAGTCCCTTTATGATCATTTAAAAACGACAGATAAAAAGTCGCTCCGAGTAAAACTTGCAGGAGCACCTTGAGTTTGAAAGAGGCGCAATGCCTTCTCTCGAAACCCCACTCCTATGCGCAGGGTCAGTGGGTCTCCTTTAGTTAAATGGTTCAAGAAGGATTCCGATATAGGAATCAAGCGGCGAGGGGCATACATTTTGAGTTTAGATATGTGAACGCCTTCAAGCTCCCTACTGATCACAAAGTGGCTAATAAATGTCTCGATAAGGGAAAATACAAAAAGGGAGGTCGTTTACATCATTGCAGGCGAAAAGCGAGCAGCTGTCGGTTAGTCGAAGAGTAAGCATTCACGACTACTCACTTATAAGGAGAAGTATAATTACATTTTATTTGTCTGATCATATAGATGAACGCGTAGCTAGTGAATTAGAAGTTCTATGCATGCCCATTTACCTCTCAAATGAATTAACACAGGTGGAGAGAACAACATATTCAGGCGAAGCGTTCCACGCTGCAACGGATCTGTTACTGTGGAAAACGTAGTTCTAGGGGATGACCGCGCAATGCGGGCATGCTAGCCTGGATGAAACAAATAACCCAGGACAAAGCAGCAATCCAGGCCATTTATAATGCGGAGGTCAATATGGGATCCCCTCTTAGTTGCCTGCAGGAGAAGAGAAGTAGATTGAGGGTCGACAGTCCGTCTTCATAGAGCAATATTCCCGGACTTTTGGTCATTTTCGTCG